TTAGTACAAAATATGAGTTTACAAATTATCTTTGTAAAACAGAATAAAAACAACACTAAAACATTAATTTAAATATTTTACGGTCTAGTTTGTGGCCCTTGGTACATACGCATGAGTGTACATCCAGTGTCTCCATGTATGTATACCCAGTGTCCTTGACTGGACAGTCTGATTTACCACTAATAACCTTCAGAATAGTATCGAAGCTCCCTCGCACTCTGCACATAAGAGACGTGATACGTTGGCGTAGTACTACATCCCTGATGCACTGCAAAATCACAGCAGTCCCGACATCACTCGAAAGGCTATATTGAACTATACAATTAAATATAACATAATCATTACAATTATATACATCGCTTATAGATGGTACCATTTCTTCATAACAAAAAATATACCAAGTGTTTTATTCCTTTTCAGTTAGGTGAATTCATTGTGTATCTTTATTTTAGTGTTGTGAGATATCAAGTTTGAATATCCCGCTTAACTTTTGGAGTTGATAAAATTTTGTAAATTGATTCAGAATCACTTATGAGATTCATGGAGTATGATCAAGACCAAAGTGAATCAATTATTAAAGAACGGAGAACCAATCGTGTTCAATGTGCCCACTGATTAAATGTAATTTACAGTCTTCTGCTGTCGCTTCTCTCGCCACGCTCACTAACTTTCTGTCTTTGTTAAATCAAGGCATTATTCAAGGTGTAAAATAAAAATATATATAAATACTCAAGTAATGTAAGAAGGGAGAACTAAGCTCCCATACGTTCGGAAACGATTTAGTATTAAATTAGGAAAAAAATTAGTTTATGAATTTGGTGTAATGGTAATCCAAATCCATGTATGCACAATGAAAACTATTGTCAGACCTCAAAATTGAATTGAACACTCCTTGGCCGTAGCGTATTTTAAAATTATTTTGTTATGAATATAACTCTCTTTTTACATATTAGAGAGGAGGAGATTTGAATAAAATGTACTATTATTGATTACTTTTTAAGTAAAGTTTTTATGTGGCAATTTCATTAGAGATGCCAGTTTCAAAAAATATTCATATAAATTCATGAACTTAAATTTAAAATGAGTGGAAAATATAATTGTAAAAATAATTATATAATGATTTCTCATATTTACGCGAACATTACACATGTAAATAAAACTAGTTTTTACGAATTTTATCGCGTATATTAACTTTTTTATATTCCCGACGTTTCGAGCACTACAGCACCCATGGTCACGGGGGGACTAAGATGTCCGTCGTCCCGATGTTATAGTTAACCACCAGATTAAAATCATTAATTTTTGTTTCGATCTACACAGTATGAACTTATAATATCTTGAAGTCTTGCAGTTGTATGCTTGGATTGGGATTTAATTTCATTAATTATAGGATCCCAAGCAGATGATAGTGCCCATATTTTATAAGATAGGACAAGCGATCGATTAAACCCCGCGGTAAAGAACATATAGCTGATGTGAAGAATCGACGCTCCGGGCAGTCTGTAGTCTGTGAACACGTACAGGATCGCCTACCATCTGCTTGGGATCCTATAGTTAATAAAAATAAATCTCAACCCAAGCATACAACTGCAAGACTTCAAGATACTATAAGTTCATACTGTGTAGATCGGAACAAAAATTAATAATGTTATTGTGTGTATAACCCCGGGTAACTATTACATCGGGACGCCTAAGACCTCAGCCCCTCCCCCCCCGTGACCATGGTTGCTGTAAAGTGCTCGAAATCGAAACGTCGGGAATATAAAAAAGTTAATATCCGTTATAATAGTTTTTAACTAGTTTTATTTTAAAAATAAATATAACTATTTTATTTACTTTAAATTCTATTAAATTTCTTCCTTTTTTTTAATTTAGTTGCAATTTAATGGGAAAATTGAGTCTTAAAGTCCTTTTCATCAGAAAAGACACATTTTTTCGGAGAATTATTATACAGTTTTTTAAATCAAAACCCAAACCAAAGAATATACCTCTGACACACTCGGACAAGAGTTCTGATCATACTTTTTTTAAATCTTAAAACTTGCCGATCTAATTCTTCATGTGTACACATTGATTGCTAAACTTACACTTAGACGCTTTTTAGAGTAGCACATTCACTTTGCCGCTGTTTAAATATTGTTCCAAATATAATTCAAAGGTTCATCATACACTAAAAAGCAGTGAATGCTTTTTTGGGAAGTACGTGATTTTAATATATTTTTTTAAATTCTACGCTTGAAAACAGTTAGGTGTTTTTAGCCGTGTTTTAGTGTCTACTACAAGTGTTTACCGCTTTTTAGCATATTATTAGGTATAGCCTAGCATGGCTGCAACTAAGTAATAAAGCAGTTATTTACGCTTAACGGCCTTTTAGATTATAAAATGTGTTTAACTGCATTTTTTCTTAGTTTTACAACATCAAATATTAAATTTCAACTAAGAAAATAAATCGTTAAAATCTCTTAACGGCTATATAGCGTAACGGTGCATCGTAACTGATTTCTAGCATATGACAGCAAAGAAAATTTTGCACTTAACCGCCAAAATGCTTAATGTATCTCAGGAACTATCAGTCGTATAAATATAATTCCAATATTGGTCGATAGAGAATTTTTTTGCTTAGTCTAGTGGTGCTGAAAGCTCAAAATCGACAAAATGCACTTAGCCGCCTTTTTCCGTATCAGGGCAGTGTTAAACATATACCAACCAACATGTGACAATATGCGTGTTTATAAATAAAAAATTATATTATGCAATGAATAATATAGGGTTGCAAGTGTTTAGGTTTTAAGAACACATGCAAAATATGCTCTTGGATGTTGAGTAGCAGAAAATTGCCTGACCTAAATTAATCTAAACTCGGTTTTAGGACGAATGTGTGAGCTGAATCTGTTTCACAACTAAGGATATCTCACAGTACTATTTTCCCCAGTCTAAAAGCAGTACATACCCTTGAGTGCCAAATTATTATAATTCTTTAACCAGAGTAATTATGAGATAGTATCAAACATACTTTTTATTTTATTTGGTACCTATGAGTTTTTATGAAGATAATATATAATTCTCTAAAAAGTTAATATTCTGTTAAAAAATATTTTGAAAGTTTTTAAGAAATGCATGCATGTTGTATGTAAAAGCTCTGAAGCTCCTTTCTGTAATTGATACTAGAGATTCATTTAATCTTCAATCTAATATATATATATATATTATATATTTATAATAAATGCATGTATGGTGTGAAGAAAGTACATGCATTTGAATACAAGAAAATGCTTTGTCATCATTTGCTAATAGTAACAACTCAATATAATAAACTACTGTTGTCTATCTGCCAGGTTGCTATGGCAAAACTTCCTATAATGCAATCCATAGGGGAAGCCAATATTCAACAGTGAACACTTATAGGCTGTAACAGTTAATGGACATATGGATAGAAAATCTGTAGTAGGGATCTTGGAATACTGTTTGATGTAAAGTATGCTTTCCATGCTTACTAGGTCTATGTGATATCTAAAGCCTTGTACGGACTAAGTATTCCAATGTACGAGAGGAGAGTAGTCAATAATGCATCCACAGTAATGCTAATCTGTACCTGCAGCTATGCATATACAATTTGAGCACGCTTTGCGTTTCGCGGCGAGTCATCCTCAGTCGGCTTTTGGTTGCACAATAAGAGCCGCAGTGTTAGTACCCACAGCAGCTGTGTTCCGATACTTGCCAGATACTGGCTGGTGGCTGGATGACTTATTACCACGCATTCATAATCCTGCAATGCATAAAGGTGCCTGTATGCATATTCACCTGTATGTGTATTTAATATACTTAGATTACATTTACCTCAGAACATTTAGTACGTACAAGGCTGTAAAGCACAAAATAGTCTGATTATGTATTTAGAACTGTCAGACTTAAAATCTGAGTAGCTTTATTTATAAAAAGAAGTATTTTAGAGTACAACATATTTTTTGTCTCTGTACTAAGCTGTCCATGTAGCTTGCATTCATTATGTAAGATGTAACGTTTTTTTTTTGAAAATGTTTAACATGTGACGTCTGTAGCGACTTCATGATATTCCAAAAATTTAACAAAATAATTATTTTACAAAAAAAAGACAACAAAACGGGATGACAAATACATATCTGCATTTTATAGATTATAATATTGGCACATTATAATGCCCTATCAGTATTTTCAGTATTTATCAATCATACTGCCTCTCTGTTGGCAGCACTCTGGTGTAGACAGGCAGTTGCAGTTCCAGTTGCTATAAATGTTTATTCAATTCAATGAATGATGAGCATCGCTTTTGTAATATAGATGTTATTCCATTAGGACCAGTACGGTAGCAACATCAAATGTTAAAAAGTTCTCGGCTTTGAATTTTACGTCATAAATGGGATTTATTACTCTTGGAATATTTATGGAGGGAATTGGTTCATCTTGTTCTCTTACATAGCAGTTAACAAACCGTTCTGCAAATAGCTCTGTGATTTTTTGTGGTTAATCTACCATTTGTGTGAATTTTGCATTATAATTGGTGACAGAGAAAAATGGTCACAGGTGGAGGAGGCCTTTGTCCAAAGAGGCACACAGACAGGGATGTTGAAACAAAATTAGTCTAAAAAAATATATGGAAGAAAGTATAAACTAACATTGTCTGAATAAAAGGCTTTTATTATTATATTATTATTATTATTATTTGCATTATAGCATGTTAGGTGTACCAATAGTGACTTCAGAGTTAAGTTGTCTTCTTATGTATACATACGTAGACAGGTTTTTTTTTTATAGAAATGATACATTTGATTCAAAACATGCTCTTCTATATTTTGAAAATTTATTAATTTTTTGATTAATATTTGTTAAGTTTCGGTACAAATCTTCTGTTTTATTAATATTATATATATTCCATATTTTATTTATGTTTTTGTTAAATCCAAAATTTATTTATAGTATAAATTATAGAAGTTGTATTTGTCATTTTTGTTTCAGCTTTTGTAATGGTTGAAAATTATAGTATGGACGAGGATGTTCTAAGGGTGTGTATGTTTTAATTTCTTGCAATTGAGACAATTTAAGAAATTTCATGTTTAAAAACGTCTAAGACCTATTTAATTAATGAAATTGTTAATGTTTTTGTTCTTTTTTCTTTATCTTCATTCAGCACCTTAATGTTTTTGTTCTTTTTTCTTCATCACCATTCAGCACCTTAAAGTCCACCACTGAACTTATTTCATCAGAACTTCCATCATTACTTATAAATGTCGTTTTTCGTCATTACTTGTAAAAGTTTTTACGTGGTAGAGCCATGCTGCAGTTATATTGTGGTTGTAGCACTAATGGGTTGGCTCGACCGGGGTAGGACCACGCTCTCACAAAATACCCGCGTAAAATAGCAGCTTAATGTTTGCTGTGTTTCGTATGGTGAGTGTAGAGAACCGGAGACCCTTTTTACTGGAAACGAGGTATTCCATCTCAGTCCTCAGGGCTGGCAACGCATCTGCATTTTGATTTCAGCATCCACTTAACATAAGGTGGACTGTGTGCTCGTTTGTCATCTTTATACTATTAAAAAAAAGTCCACTGGTGAAAATAGACCTCCCTCATAGATTGCCTCATAGAGGAAATTTTGCCAGAGTTGCCACGTTTGGCAGGTGGATACCGCAGTTTTATTATTTTTAGTTGGTATTAGGAAGATGCTACTGCCCATCTCCTGTTTCAGTCTCCCCAGTCGCCTCTTACGACACTTACGAGAAGTTGGATGTGCCTAATACAATATAATATAGGTTATTTATTTCGGACAACAAGGGACTACAGTGATCAGTAACATTTTAAACTCAGATCTAGTGTTAATAACAAATGGATATAATAATAACATAAAACAAATACGACAAAAGCGAGAACCCGAACGAATAGTGGCAAGAAGCCAGTCTACAGTAGTACATGCAGCCGTATCAACAGACGGCCAGGCGCTCAGTATGGTGTTAGAGCTTTAGCATGAACGCGCTGAAGTACGCCTCTCTACTTCAGTTTGAGCTTCTGCGAATGCTTGACATGCGGGTTGCTGAACCCTGTACTATATCATCAGATACCATCCTGGTTATTATATGTTTGGTATTGAGGCGAGTTCGGTTTAAAGAAATTTATTTCTCATAAGAACATACAATGGTTCACTTAAAATGAGATACAAAGTAATTATATACTAAAGTAAAACTATCGCATCTACCTCTAGTGCTGGAGGTGTTATAGTTTTGAGCTTATTTACTATGAGATATAAGATTAAGATTATTTACTATGTCAGAAAAGATTACACTGTAGTACGTATTTCCTAAGTTTACTTTTAAACAATTTTATGTTATTGCAATTTTTTATGTCATCTGGTAGTTTATTGAACAGCTGTGCTCCCTCAAACAACAAAGTTTTTTTGCCATAATTAGTTAGTGTAGTTATTAATTGTAGTTTATTTTTACTTCTTAAGTTGTGTGTTGTTGTTTTTTTATGTAATTGTATGTTTGATTGAATAGAATTAGTGGTAATGTTTTTTATTAGAATGCAAGTGCAATAAATGTATAGTTGTGTAAGGTTTAGCAAGTTAGTTTTTTCGTATAGTACTTTTGTTGGCGTTAGATAATGATAGTGGAATAATGTTTTGATAATTTTATTTTGTGTCCTTTGAAGTGGATTTAGATTTGTTTTAGCAGTTGATCCCCATATCTCAATTAGATATTCGATATGTAATTTAACTAAAGAGTTATATATGATTGTACGAACCTTTTCCGGGATACAGTTTGCGACTTTACGTAGTGCACATAGTAATGACGTCAGTTTTGATTTGACGTGATCGATGTGCATTCTCCAAGTGAGTTTATCATCTACCAATAGACCTAGATATTTTTCCTGAGTTGAACGTTTTATTATTTTATCTTCAATAGTAAGATGTGCAAACTCTGGTAAAGGTTTATTCTTTGTAGAAAAAATCATGAAAGATGTTTTTGACATATTAATTGTTAGCAAGTTATATTTTAACCATTCTCCGAGTAAGTCAAGATCTTTTTGAGCATAGGTTATAATGTTGTGAATAGATTTATCGAAATAGAAGAGACATGTGTCGTCAGCATATAATGTTAGGTGACCTGTTAGCCCTAATTTGTTTATATTATTTATATAGATTAAAAACAATAATGGACTTATAATTGAGCCTTGAGGACAGCCGTAGGATACGTTTTTAATCGAGCTGGTAAAATTATCCATTTGAATAACTTGTCGCCTATTATGTAAAAACGATGTAAACATTTCGAGGGCCTTACCTGTAACGCCTATGTTGTTTAGTTTCTGCAACAATTTATGATGGCTTACTGTGTCAAATGCTTTTTTTATGTCAATAAAAATCCCTAAAGCGATATTCTTTTGATCGATTTGAGTTTTAATTTTTGTTGATGAGTTGATCAGAAGTTCAACTGCTATAAGGCATAAGACCTCTTTGATTTTTTATGAGTCGATTCTTACGAAACTTACGGGATGAGTTGTGGTTCTCCACACAACCTTTTGTCTCATCTCCATTATTCTACTAGATGATAGAACTCTTTATATGTCTAGGAGTTCATCTAGGCGCCGCTCTGTTTCGGTCTGAAGGCTATAGAGAGCTACTATAATTACGGGCTGTGTGCCATTGCATATTAGCCCTCAGAGGTGACAACGCATCTGTGTAGTATCTTTGTCTAAAGTTCGCCGCAGGTGTCCATGGGCTGTAGTGGCCACTTACTATCAGATGGGCTGTTAGTTTGGTGATCACTCTTGTTTAATAAAAAAATATAAAAAGTTCTGTGGTATTTCCAGTAGTCTTACCAAGTAGGTTTAGTATAATGACCAAAGAGACATTTTCTACCTTACTACCACCAACTACTACTAGACTACCAATGGTCTTACTTACTTGTAAAACTACGTGGAATTTATATGGCGTGGTGCATTCCCAATAGTCTTACTAAATAGTCTTACAAGATTACTGGGAATTTTCTTACAGAGTAGATCTAACTGGTGAGACCTCTGGTGAAAAAAATAATGGAAGAAAATTACCAATAGTCTTACTAGTAAAACGAATGGGAAGCTACGCTCCCACTGAATACTAGCGTAAAATAGCAACTTAATACTGGTGTCTGTTGTGTGGGAGTGTAGAGATTCGGAGACCCTTTTTTACTGAAAAGGAGGCATTCCATTTTAGTCCAACAGTGGTGACAACGCATCTGCGTTTTGATTCTTAATCGAGGATAAATGTCTATGGACCACAACATCCACTTACCAGCAAGTGGACTTTCGTTTGTCACCCTTATTCTATAAAAAAAAAACTTGCTAAGACTGCTGGTAACTCCAAAACTCTGTATTACTTTAACTTCTTGTATAAATTATATCTATATCTTTGTTTCAGATATGTCCTTTGTGCAATTCATGTGTAAAGCTCTTCTTTATCAACTGGAATGAAAAGTTGCTAATGTGTGAAAACACGACTTGTGAATTCCCATTTGGTCACGAGGAACTGCAGTTTGTCAAAGAGGACAACGAGATGGACAGTGACATGGAAGTCATCAGTCTCAGTAGGCTCGGCAAAGGATCAACATCAGCCTCCATAGTTTCCACTACCGCTTGGTCAGAAATTGATAAAATCAACAGGGTATATGAATCGGAAGATAGCCAGTTTGAAATCAAAAGCAATTGTGTGAAACAATACGAAAACAAAAAGAAGAATAAAGCGCGAAACAACCTTGTAAATGATAGCCAAATATTGAAAAATGTAAAAGATTTGAAGGGGTTGACAAGGGAGTTGAAAGGAATAGACGACACACAAGAAATTATCAAAAATGAGAAGTGGATAAAGAATTTAATGAACTTGCAAGGTCTGTCTGGAGTGCAACTGCTACAGCAACAAGAAATGGAGCAGTTGAAGAAAATGGAACCGAGTTTTGGAGCGGGCGAGCTTAAAATTGATATAGATACAAATAAAAATAACATGTCGTCGATAAAAATAGAAATCACAAACAGAAATGATGACAATTCTACTACAGATAACATAACATAATTCTACGCAAACACTTAATGGGATGGAAGATACACATTCATTTTTTAATGTGTTAAAATGTTTAGTTCAAATTAAAAAAAAAACATTTTGATTATTTTTTATGAAATATATTAGTGATGGCCCGAATATTCGTTTCATGTTTGGTATTCGGCATATTCGGCAGCTTTTCCGAATATTCGTATTTGGCCGAATATTCGACTAATATTCGCCGAACATTCGTTAACGTGCTACTCAAAGTGTCAACTGCATTGAAATGTACGAATTGAGTAATGCCACGACTTTCATGATTTTATTGTTGAAAGTATATTTTTGATTTATTTGATTTATATGATTTATTTCCAATTATAGCAAATAGAAAGCTTGATAAAATGTTTTTGGAATCAAACAAAGAAATATTATATTACATTAGTACATTTCACTTTACTTTGGCCGTCAGTTTCTCTGAAATTAGTCCAAATAGTAGATCGCCACTCATTTTTATCATATAATTATTAAGCATGCGCCGGCAATTTGCTCAGTACTAGTGGTACTAGATGATGCAACAACATGTCAGGTGGAGGGGGGGGGAAGAAACGGAGGACAGGATCCGGAGCTAATCCCGCGCGCTTTTTACGTTAACAAGTTTCGACATAAATTGGTTTGGTACCGAGGTGATCCTGCCGAATAATGTTCGGCCGAATATTCGTATTCGGTGAAATCCAATTCGGCCCATCTCTAAAATATATTTGTTGTGTTTTGTTTGTTTTTCTTTTGTTTTAAATATTAAGTTGTAATAGGTATGTGCTATCAAGCAATACATTTTGAAATTATTTCTATGCGTTTTTTTAAGTGTAATGGCGGTGTAAGAATATTCACTACCCCATATCGCACCATGGGTGTCGTAAAAGGCGACAAAGGAAAGCAAACCAAGAGACGGGCAGCAGCGGCTTCCCGATAACAATTCAAAGTTATAAAAAAAGTGGGGTTGTCAACCCGCTTGCCGCGTGTGGCAACTACCACTAAATCCTCTTTATGAGGCAGTCTATGGTGGGAGCCTACGTCCACTGCTGAGACCTATATAGGCTGTAATTGATAGATGGAATGTTTTTTTAAAACTGTTAAAATATCTGGCTGTGACTGACAGTATTTTAAACTCGAATTCGAATTCGTCTACCTTGGTAACATATCCGGTATAAGAAGATAAGGACACATGCCAATCTTATCCTCACCGCTAGGTGTCGTTCGTAAGTTAGCGAAAGAGGCTCTACGACAGACAAAAGCAATTTATAAATCCAGTTCAGTAGCGCAGCGGATTAGCGTTAGGCTGCGGCACTGAGAGGTCGCGGGCTAGAATCCTGCACAGAAATGTTATTTTTTTATAGAGTTAGGGTGACAAACGAGCACACAGTCCACCTGATGGTAAGTGGATGCTATGGCCTACGCAGTAACGCAGATACGTTGTCACCCCTGAGGACTAAGATGGAATGCCTCGTTCCCAGTATAAAAGGGCCTCCGGATCTCTACACACAGCATACGAAACACAGCAGTATTAAGCTGCTAATTTATGCTGGTATTCTGTTAGTTTCTAGTTTCTGGATGTTAACGCTGTTAGTCTATGCGACTCTTACAGCTTCACCTGACAGGGCTCGCTTGCGCGCTTTGTATATTTATTATAGCTATAAATAGAAATATACATTTTCGTCGTCGATATAGCTTTTTCTCTGTATATTCTTTACTCATGTGATAATATGGCTGAATGATGATGATAGATTCACTATTTATGACTTTTAAATGACACGTGACGTGTTTCCGTAAGGAGCGCTCCATTCAGACTGCGTTTGCGCGAGTGTGTGGCCACTCGCGCTCATATTGCCAGTCCTTTGACTCACGCCCAAAAAAAAAACCGGCAAAACAGGGAGCGATGTAGCATGACGAGTGTGTGGCCGGGAGTAATACAAACCATCTCATTTCGTCGCGTGGATGTCGAAAGAAGCGAGTTGGGAAATGCCAGAAAAATATTATGGTTTCCAATAGATGGCGTTATAATCATATTATTGATAGATGATTTATAGAATCAAGCGTTACTTTACGGAAATCCATTATAATAAAAATACTAATTACTTCGCAACCTTTCGCTAACTAAATACAACGATGTGTCTTATCTGGATTGAAGAGCACCTCCCGCCCTCCCTCAATTGCATGCACTAACTCCGTCACCACTAGTCTCAGCACTACTACTCCCAACACCACTACTCCCGGCACCCCTACTTCCAACACAACTATTCCAGGTAAGACACACCATCGACGATAATACGACACGTGTTTCGCCTCTACACCAGGCGTCCTCAGGTGATGTAGACTCTAGGGCGGCTGACCGCTAAGTCTTAGCGGTGCAAATGGTGCCAACGGTGCGAGAAGTCTGAAATGTCAAGGTCAATCCGCCTGCCAAGGATGACAAATTAGCAAATCTGATCCAAGAGGCACATGTCCAACAGTGGACTTTTAACAGGATGTAATGGATGGTTGATATACTAGATGATCTTTTTAACCACCTGGAAGAAAATTGGGTGTAACATGTGAACGGAGTAGAAGCCTATGGCATTGATATTTTACAAAGAATAAAAAAAAATTTGAATTAAAAAAAATTTATTAAGATGTATCGAAATTCAAATCATATCCATCCTACTTTACGAACGTCAATAAAACAATAAATTTAGTAGGCATCTTTGACCTTGTCGCTTCACAAGGTCACAGGATCAAGGGAAAAGGGAAAAGTAATTGGTCAAAAAAAATTCAAACGTTTAAGTCAACATTTTTCTTGTAAAATATCTGCGCTATAGGCTTCTACTTCGTTCACATGTTACACCCTATTTTTTCCAGACGGTAAAAAGGTCATCCAGTATAAAGTTAAAACCGGTCGCTATTGTACCATAATCTAGTGTTGGAATCTATGCCATTCTAATCCTCAGCTGGAGCATGTTGACAAAGTTTTTTGACCGAAAAAAAGTGATATTAAAATCCATTTTTAAAATGTATCTAAATCCCAAAGCCTGCAGTATCACCAGTCCGAGGCTATCTGCTTACAGTCACTGCTCTCCAGCCTACTCAGCGTGATAAGTACCGATTAAGTTTACAGGGTATGGATGCTACTCTGTGCAGTGGCGTAGCATGATTGCTGTCACAGTATAAAAAATAAAGTCAGTACATAGTCTTCTATTTTATTTATTGACTATCAAAGTCTACTGCCACTACCCCATAACCATAGGCGTGCATCAGGGTTCCGTCTTAAGCCCCTATCTCTTCAGTGTGATGTCAGCCAGCGTACAGAAACTACCGCAGCCTTGGCTGCTTATGTACGCTGATGATATCGCACTGGTAGATGGGGACAAAGGACGGCTCACCAGACGCGTGCACCCATGGAGGGAGGCGCTTGAGAACGGCGGGCTGAAGCTAAATGTGGCGTAGACGGAGTATATGGCCTGCAACAGCACATATCTGACGTCTCTCCTTATAGGCGACGACACCGTCGAGCGCACGGACAACTTCAGGTACCTCGGATCTGTGCTTGATGCGTCCAGGGACATCGATCGTGACATCAAGGCCCGTATATCAGCGGCCTGGGCGAAATGGCGCGAGGTGACGGGTGTCATTTGCGACCCCAAAATGCCAGTCAAGCTCAAGGGACAGGTCTATAAGAGCATCATAAGGCCTGTCCTTACGTACGGCAAGTAAGTTGAATTAACGGTTAGGTCATATTCCCTGCACAATCTTTCCACTATACGGAGAGTCGCTTGGGTCAAGTCGCACACCATGCTTGCTGTCTTTCCAGAGACCAGTATTGTCAGATCATCTACATAACCTACTGTATAGAAATGATTAGCTTTTAATTTGCTGATGAGTTTATTAATGACCATGTTCCACAGAAGAGGTGAAAGAACCTCAACGTGTGGGCGGTAAAAAGCGTTAAAAATCTTTAACATTGAATCGCCTGCAATGTGCTAGCCCCCACTTCGTATGAAGCCCGGGGCGCCTTGCGATTGTAGGTAATTATTTCACGCAGGTAGCAAGAGTGACAGAGGCCTGGCATCATGTCGCACACACATCGCACACGGGCAATACGGGAAAAAACAGTGGCTGTGGTTTGTCACACCAAATGCTAAATGCGACCCCTTTTCGTCACGTTCGGCAACGCCTAATACTTATACTTTATTATTAATAACGTTCAAAATGAAAATTATTTTGCGAAATATTTTTTTCATTAATTAATAGAAAATAAAATCCCACCCCCGCTGGATTTTATTTTCTAGAATTTTTTCAGCTGAAGGAAAACCGTGGAAAACAATCTCGATCAAATTTGGTGGTTTACAGACGTCCGAAAGGGGCCGGACAGGATATAAAGAGTTTGAACTTGACTTTCTCCGAGGCCGTCACCGAACGCGTTGCGGTCTCTCTACGACGAATTTGTTTGTTTTTTATACTCGTAACATCGGAGTGACAAACAAATTTACAGTCCACTTGATGGCAAGCAACCTGCATTAGGTGGTAGGATTGTTCTGTCTACCTAAGAGTTCTGCTGTGTAGGTACCACACTCTATTGCTGCCACCAATTAGCAGAGCTTGTACTGCCGTGTACCGTTCTGAAGGGTATAGAGAGTCAGTATAATTGCATGCAGTGAGGCTGTTAGTTCTTTTTTTATAGAATAAGGATGACAAACGAGCACACAGTCCACCTGATGGTAAGTGGCCCATAGACATCTACATTTATCCTCGATTAAGAATCAAATGATGCGTTGTCACCCCTGAGGACTAAGATGGAATGCCTCGTTTACAGTAAAAAGGGTCTTCGGATCTCTACACTCACCATACGAAACACAGCGGTATTAAGCTGCTATTTCACGCTGGTATTATGTGAGAGCATGGTCCTTCCCCGGTCGAGCTGATATTTCGTGCTACAACCATAATGTAGCTGCAGCGTGGCTCTACCACATATGAAGAGTTTCAAGTTCTCAGAGGAGGCGACAAATCTGTGGCTTTCTTTATTCTTTGTCCAATGTTAATCCAAGCAACCTACATATTTACATAGTAATTACGATAAATTAAGCTTACTACTTACTTAGAGGAAAATGTTGCTGTATTTTGTCTACAACAAAGTTTAGTTGATTAACAAACTTTTACTATTTTTTTCACTGGTGGTAAAATTACTACATTAATGCCAGCCCCTTTCCTGAACTACTATAATAACAACGGTTGTACTGTATTGGTTATGGGTCATGCCAAAAGAGTTGGTAAACTACTTCAGTTTACTAGTACTTCTGGTATGACCCGGAACATTTCTATATATCCTGCACTTTCAAAGCTGAGTCATGCCTTTAGTGTTCTTCAGTGCTACGGTTTTAATGTCAATACAATCCTACTTACCTTAAATCCTGTCACTCGCAAACAAGCGGAAAGCTTTCCGCTTCAATTTCTTTAATTTGATTACAAGCAATATACTTAATATTTATAAAACTTGAGCAGATTTTAAACCGCATTTAAGACCTATAAATATAAGTTCTTATTTTAGTTAGATGTTAAGGTATCTATAAATAAATAAAGTATAAATGTAAGTTCTAATTTTATTTTGACAGCTTTGTAGAGCAGTGGCTAAGCGTTTGGTCACGGTACTGCAGGTCCACGGTATTCAATTATTCACGGAACAAGTTTTTGGATATGGTCTACAAACAATTGTTCCGACTATGGATGTGTATCCTTGTGCAATTCGTGTATGTAAACTACCTTCAGGATACAGGAGTAATTTCTACCGTGGCTTCTTGTTATATAATTACCTTTTTCAGATTCGTTATACCAAGGCAGCAAATGTTTCCAACCGAGTCCGGCAGTCGGCTGTTGCGGGGCGAGCTTAAATACGATGTGACAGATCTCAATCGCTTACTTTCCTGTAGTAATCAGTTCCGGAGGACCGTGTTACAGACAGAGATGAGATTAGAGCAACTGTGGCTTCTCTAAGGTAGGCTTACTCTTTACTGTTTTTTTTACATTAAATTTTTTTTCTTTATAATCGTGGCATACGGTATTTATTATTTCATCCATAAATGATTTATACGTGGTAGAGCCACGCAGCTATATTATGTATGTATTATGTAGATATTATTAAGAACACCAGCATAAAATAGCAGCTCAACGCTGCTGTGTTTCGTATGGTGAGTGAAGAGAATCAAAGACCCGTTTTACTGGAATCGAGGCATTCCATCTCAGTCCTCAGGGGTGACAACATATCTGCATTTTGATTCTTCACTTTAAACCGGAACACAGTAATAGTTTGGCTGGTGCTTGGTGGTACGTTACAGGATAGCATTTACTTAGACGGACTTCTAGGTACTAAAAGAACCCTGCTATCTAAATCCAACAACGAACATTTAGTTGCAGTTCCAAACTAGGTTTCACTCATAGGATAGTCACTGAGCAATGCGTACGTCATGCTTTTTTTATAGAATTTGGGTGACAAACGAGCACACAGTCCACTTGATAGTAAGTGGATGCTGTGGCCCATAGACATCTACATCTATCCTCGATTAAGAATCAAAATGCAGATGCGTTGTCAGTATTTAAGGACAATGATGGTATAAATACTTCTTTTTTAATGTTTTCCAATAAAATAGGTTTTTGTTTCTCTGCACTCATCGCTCAGATGGACTGTGTATCCGCTCGTCACAATTATCCTATATAAAAATTCATCTCTACTATACCTGGTGATTATGGCAAAGTCTTTTCACATGGGAGAGATAAAAACTTACTTTGTATTGCTGATATCCTGATGGTAATACGCAGTGTAGGTGCGTCGCTATCTATTACCTAATTACCAATGGATCAAAAAGTAACGAAAAAGCGCGTTTCAGATGCAGACCTGGTTTCTATTTATGGTGTTGTTGCTGGCTGGTGCACACGGCGGTGGAGTTACTAAAACCGACGAAGATGGTGAGAGTCTAAGTGCTTTATATACAATACCAGCTGTGCTCAGAAACAGAATTAGTTTTTTCAATATAAAGTATAAATAATATAGTAGATACGTGAGGGTAATATGATCATCCCGTTAATATGGTCACTTTATTAGAACTCAAAAACTACAGCCTTGTTTGACTTTTTTTACTGTCTGGTTGGACATTTGAAATTTTTTTTGTACAATTACTTAGCTCTTTGCCCTTGAGCCTGTGACCCTGCGAAGTAACAAGGTCAACGATGCTCACAAAATTTATGGTTTTATTGCCGTTCGTAAAGTAGGGTGGATATGATTTGAATTTCGATAGATTTTAATTAATTTATTTATTTAATTCAATTTTTTTAAAATACCAGTGCTATAAGCTTCTACTCCGTTAACATGTTACACCCTATTCCTTTCCAGATGGTAAAAAAGGTCAATCCAGTATATATATATATATATATATATATATATATATATATATATATATATATATATATATATATATATATAATATAACTAATATTTCAGAAAGGAACATTTGCCTAACAATTTTAATTCCCCTCTGTCAAATATTGCACTTCATTCCATAGTGACGCCTCACAGGTGGTTGAAAAATTTGTGGATGCCCTAATTGTAATGGCTTTTTTGTCAGAAACATCGCCCGCTTATGTTTCTGCGTACTTTATACGTGGTAGAGCCACGCTGCAGCTATATTATGTTTGTAGCAGGAATGGGTCGGCTCAACCGGAGAAAGACCACGCTCTCACAGAATAGTAGAATAGCAGCTTAATACTGATCTGTTTCGTATGGTCAGTAGAGATCCGGAGACCCTTTTTTACTGGAAACGAGGCATTCCATCTTAGTCCTCAGAGGTGACAACGCATCTGCGTTTTGGTTTTTAATCGAGGATAAACGTAGATGTCTATGGGCGACAGCATCCACTTATCATCAAGGTGGACTGTGTGCTCATTTGTCAACCGTATTCTATAAAATAAAAAAAAACTTACCAAAGTTTCATGGTCATCGCATGAATGGTAAAGAACGCTTAGAAGGTGATCAGTAGAGATCAGACCAATCAGCATTCCAGCAGGACACCCAGATTATTAAATTCTTATTTTATGTAAGTTTAATCTAGGGACACTCACTTACATAGGTAATCTTGTATAGTACAAATAAAGAAATATTCATTTTTAGTGTTCCTACGTCAAAAGGAAAAATTGAGACACTTATTACCCGTCCATCTGTCTTTTTGTCCATCTGTCAAGACCCTATATAGAGTATAAATAATATTATAGTAATAATAATAATATTATATTTTTATAAATAATAGTATAGACATTTTTCTCTGGAACGGTTCTTGACAGATGAATAGAAAATAAAATTGTCTCTAGGCGGTATTGACATTCAAGCTTCTAAGTTAACGTAATCAAAAGACGTATCCATTTATGTTGTATATTTTGACACTCGGAAATTGACTCATTGAAACTTTCTCGTTGACCTACAATCATAAAATTAGTAAAGAAGTAAGTTTGCATGGTTTGCATAATTAGTAGTTAACAGTTGGAGCATCCGACTTAACGTAGACCGGTACATCGGAGAACTTATTTTTTTCACTGCAACGTTGAGTTTGTACATCCGACTTAAATTTTTGAAAGATTTATTTACCGAACTTTACATCTACTACACACTACTCGGATTATCCTTAAGTATCTACTCTCTGCGAAGTGTGGGGTGGACCCCAACTAGATTTAGTGACGACGGATGCAGGTGGCTCAGGACCGTGCTTTGCGGCATTATTTGGGGGGGTCTATGTTCAGCAGTGGACTTGTGACGGGCAGTAATAATGATCTACTGTCTATATCTTACCTTAGGCATAAAGATCGTACTTTCTTTGATATGACATAATATAGACTTTAAAAAGTGAAAGTTACTAGTCTATAGTAATAAAAAATAAGCATAAACTTTCATATATAGGCACATACATGCTAGTCGTTATGGAGATATTCTTATTTTGGCCCATCTTCAATATATCGTCCATTTGGTCGAAAAACTTTCGTCCTTTGTCGATTCTGCCTTTCACTGCAGCTTAAATTTGCTTTGTCACTCCTTTCTTATTTATTAATTCTACGTGTCCAAGCCACAGAAGCATTCCGATATTGGAGATAGTTTACCAAAACAATTACACAATCACTACCTCATTGAACATTGTGACTTGTCATTTTCGCGATTAAGTGTGATGTAAAAATGAATTCACGAAAGTTCAGTAAAAGTAATGGGCAAATAACATTTGTTTCATTCGAAGTCAGGGTTGTCACACACATTTCTGGGATAATGTTTTTTAAGGAATATACCGTTACAGCCTGTGTGGACGCTTGGCGATCAGCCACTGTGCGAAGTTTTCTTCCTCGCACGGCTTTTTTTTTTTATAGAAGAGGGGGCAAACGAGCATGTGGCTCACCTGATGTTAAGTGACTACCGCCGCCCATGATCAACCGCAACACCAGGGGAATTGCAGGTGCGTTGCCGGCCCTTTAGAAAGGAGTAAGCTCTTTTCTTGAAGGTCCCCAGGTCGTATCGGTCCGGAAAAATCACCGGTGGTAAATTATTCCACAGAGAGGTTGTACGCGGAAGAAAACTCCTTTTGAAACGTACAGTGGTGGACCGCCAAGCATCCAGATGGTGTGGATGGTATCGGGACGTTTGCCGTGTAGTGCGTTCACGAAATTTGGCGGCTGGGATTAATCCGAACAATTCCTCAGAGCACTCCCCGTGATAGATGCGATAAAATACGCAAAGAGATGCAACATCTCTTCGCAGCGCCAGTGAATCGAGCCGATCGGAAAGCACTCGGTCGCCGACGATTCGAGCCGCTCTGCGCTGGATGCGGTCAATGCGGCTTCTTTATGTAATCGTCTACCACCGGCGATTTTCCCCAGACCGATACGACTTAGGGGCCTTCAGAAAAACGAGCTTAATCCTTTTTAAAAGGCCGCCAACGCTCTTGCAATTCCGCTGGTGTTACAATTGTTCATGGGTGATATTCGGCTCTTAGTTACTATCAGATAGGCCGAATGCTCATTTGACTTTCTTCTATAAAAAAATTAAGTAAACAAAATGCAAAAAAGATATCCCAAGTACAAAACCTTTGGCGTTAGAGTCATTTATTCCTTTTGATCGGTTTTTGTGAGTCATACTCGTATTATACTTCAAGTATATTATACTTGAAGTATAAACATATCTTAACAGAAAACAAAAAAAAATAGGCCCATAAGTAAAACCATATAAAAATTAGATTATATGCGAAAAAGTCGCGGTCACAGTTACTATTATAATAAACCTATTTATGATGTTATGATCCAAAAAAAGCTATTTATAATAACGTTTGAATGCCATAAAATATATACCCAAGAAACTAAGTTAAGGATATTCTCCTAAGACCGTACCTACTGTTCTTCAAAATAAGGCATTCAGTAGTGTAATTTTAGACGAGATTATGAGTTACGCCCAAAACAAGTTAACAGTGGTCACTGTCAGCACAAGTACACCTGCAGTAATGTCAATTCAAATGTCAAATCAATGAAAAACGGAATGTATATATATTATACATATAGCCTCTAGTGTTATACTGGCTCTCGTAAACCTCCTTTTCTGTTTGAGTCTATCAAAGTCCAGTACTGGACGACATAAACTTTTCCAAAAATTCGCCAACAAGATGTAAAGAAGAGTGGCAGCTAAAAATGTATTACGTATTTCAGCACGAATAACTTTGCTCCGGGAAAGGAACATATTCTTATAGGTATAGTATATAATAAGTATAAAATAGCAGCTTAATGACGTCGTGTTTCGTACGGTGATTATGTAGAAACAGAAACAGAACCTTAGGCCTCATGAGTGACAACGCATCTACTTTTTGAGTCTTATTAAATGAATTATTTAATATTTATGGACCACAGTATCTACTAACTATCGGGTTAAGTATGTCTACGTGAATGATTTAAAAATGACAGCCCTGGCTTAAGTCCGTCAGAAATCGAACGTTGAAAGTTTGAGTAAGATAATTTTAGTATCCACAAGTGTCTTTAGCTTTCTCATTTGAAATATTAGGAATGTTACAAGAACTTAATTCCTTGATAGCTAATTTATATGTAAAAAAATGTCTTTGAAAACCTATAAATTGAAGTATAATGTTAATAATAATTGATACATAAGTATTAAAAATATACTTTCAAAGCAATAAAATTTCCATACTTTTATATAAATTTATTTTCTCGCGTGTCCTTCCGTGTATAATGTATGATAATAAATGTAAAAATATAATAAATGTAAAATAAATATAATGAAATATTTTTTTTTAATTTACAATCTCTTCTATATTTTGTAAGCGTAAAGTATATTAATTACTAGCAGTATCTGCGACGTTTTCGCATATCATAGTCTTTTTTTTTTGGTAATTTTGTACTTTTCTTGCCTAATTTTAATTTTATACTACGAAACTGTTCCAACTCCAATTGGAGGCGGCTTTGTACTACCACTTACTTCGAATCCTGTAATGAATAAGTAAAGTTAAATCTATGTATACCTAAATACTTAGACTTTTGGTCTTGGTCTTCAACTAAGATGAATGAGCCGTGGTAGCTCAGAGGCATAGTGCTCGTCGTAATTTCACAGTACGCGAGCAACCTGGGTTCGATCCCCACCGGCACAATGAATTTGTTAATTGGAGTTATAAGTGCTGATTTACCAGCTCGGCGATGAAAGAATACATGTAAAGTTCGTTAACACTCATAAAAAGTACTCCGTGAATTGAGCAAGTGTGGCGGACTTATTTACCAATTACCCCCAGAAATGGGAGGAGACCTGTGACCTGGAGACCAGATGTGAGATGTATATAGACTATAAGCCTATATTTATAAGATGCTGTACTGATTTTATCTTTAGAAATGCTATATTATAAGCGTCGAAATGAATTGATTGACCAACAATGTTTTTAACAGGTATATCACAGCCTTGGAGCGAAAATTTCAAGGAGTTAGAAAATTTGTACGGTAAAACGTCTGACAAAGATTTGTACGGGGCAAAATTGCCCCCTAGTGTCAGATTTGACGCAGCTAAAATTAAATTAAAGGGTAAAGCAAGCGAATTGGCTCAAGCAAGGCCCACGTACGCGTACAATCATAATTATGACGATGTATTTAACAGTCAATTTAAGAAATTAGAAAACCCTGAACACTCTACTAACTACATCAGTTATTCAAATTTTCCAACCAACAACCAACCAACCAGTCCAACAGAAGTTTCTAACACCTACAATTATGTAAAGCATTTGGGACAGACGGATAAACAGAATACAGAATATCCTACCCAAGAATCCGGCGGATTTAAACCATACTTTAGTTATGTTGGTAGAAATCCTGAGGGAAGTGATATGCGTTTTTACACTTCAGAAACCAATAAAGTCAGAGAAAGTGGAAGCAAAGAGAAGTTCGGAGAAAATAGAATTCGTGTCACAAACAAAGACAGAAGTAAAGTGAGACAATTTAAAGGAAATGCTTTAATTTCACATACGAAATGCCGCGCGGGGGTTTGTAGAAAAAAAATTACGGACTCTCATCGGTTCCATACGAAGCCCACCGTAAAGAAGATCAAAAAAATCGTTTATACTTATTGATTTGTTTTATTGGAATTTGAAAAAGTTGCCAGCATATGTCTTTCCATCCGATAAGGGTTTGTTGTTTGAATTGTGGTCAATAATTGTAAACGATTATAGTTATTAACTGAAACTAATTTTACGAATTATTGCGTTTAATTTTAACTGTTTAATTGACGACGTTTTGGGTGCTTTATAGCACCCATGGTCCCAGGCTGACTAGGGTGTAAATCAGGGCTAAATATGACATCGGGGCGTCATAGTTAGCCCGGATTACCGGTTAAACGTTTCATTTAATGTGTAGTATTCGCGCACATATAAAAAATAATTATAATAATTTATGTTATGTTTATTATGCTGCCGTGTTATGAGCCGTAGTAGCTCAGTTGGTTAACGCTCGCTGTAAATATAATAGAACGAGAGTAACCCGGGTTCGATCCCCGCCGGCACCAATGAAATTGTTAATTGCAATTTTAAGTGCTGATTTACCACGTGCTCGGCGGCGAAGGTAAACATCGTGAGGAAACCTGCATGTCTGAGGAATAAGAAAAAAATATTTCGCAGACATGTGAAGTTCGCCAACACGCATTGGGGCAGCGCAGCGGACACTTTCTTGCCCTAAAACCCTCTCAGAAATGAGGGGGCACCCCTGTGCCCAGCAGTGGGACTTACATAGGCTGTAATTTTACTTTACTTTTTATTATGCCGCATGATACCTATATAAGTATAATACTCTGACAGTTGCTTCGAATTGCTCATTATCTGTTTGCTGTTCTTTCTGAGCTAGCGGGCTAACTCAAAGTACGTGCATAAAATTGTAACTAGAATAGGCTAAATGATAATAGATAAATATATATACCCAAATTGTTATAAATTTTATGAAATTTAGTTTTTTTTTATACCTATTTTTCTTAAAACAAATATAATAATAAACTTAAAATGTTGGCGTGTCGTTTTTAGGAAAATTAATTATGTATCTAATTACCAATTTTATTAAGATGTAAAGAGAGCGAAGAAGTCAATAAACCTTATCATATTCTAATTTTGTGCGCATAGAAAATAAGTAATTATAAATATATAAGTTTTAGACTTATAAATTTTAATTAAGTAACTAATTATTTATGTAATTTATTATAGTGTAAGAAGAATATGTAACTCAATATTAATAATACACAATAAAATCCAAATAAAATTGTTTTATTCAATATGTGTGTTCGCGTAAATACAAGAAACCATTAATAGTATCTTACTGTAATGATGAAGGTGATGAAGGACGTCTTCAGAGTGAAGAAGTTGTTGACTGCGCTGAACGGCTGAATATACTATGTACAAAAATCAATAATTTGCCCGTCACTTGCTACTTAGTAAGTAAGTACCTGCAGGTACAGCGAGAGGGAATCCACTATCCTATATCATCCTTGGTCGCAACGGGCGACACAGGGAGACTGAAACAGTTGGGTAGCAAGCAATTTCCTGAAAACAACACAAAATAATACAAAACTGCGTCTGCCAACCCGCGTGCCAAGCGTGGCAACTATGGCAATGTATGGGGGAGGCCGGCAGGGGACTATTGATATGTTTTAATGATAAAGATAAAGATGTACTACGTTGTGTAGTGTACTTCGTTACGCACAATTGTCGAGCGAATTAAGTGTAAATAATTGAAGTGATAAATGAATTTTTAGTCTAACTGATGGTAAAATGCCACACAATGATAATAATAATGCTTTGTTTAATCAATAATTTTAACAAATAAATGTAACATCCCTGGCTACTGTGAACCTGTATCTCAGGAGCCAGTTTCTTCTCACAAAACAAATGTACAAACAAAGAAGATTTTCGCAAAAATCAAAATTCCATCAATGAATAATGAAACTAAAATTCTATTGTATAGATGTGTGTGTTATTTTCAAACATTTTTCAAATAGGGGATGGTACAAATGTGTTATTACCTCTGAGGGTTAAGGTGTTATGCCTCACAACCCTTAATTATTGGTCTCTTTAGCTTGAACGGATCACGAAATAGGTAGCACCAACCCACGGAATCCCAGCCAGAAATAGATTTCCACCACTTGGTAAAAATCTTGATGGAGCATCATCGAGACAGACTCTCAAGTAATAAAATATCTTGTCAGCTTATACTTTTAATAAATAAAGCGAACTTACAAACGCAACTTAAAGCTAAATGTTTTCACTTAAATTTTGCAAACGAAAATTAAGGAAAAACAATTTTTATTGCATTCTCACTCGTGGCTTTTGTTCTTTCCTTAATTACTGCAGTTTTTGCCCTAACATAAATCCAACTCTCGCACAGCAGTTAATACAAACGTTGCTTTGCACAATTTATCTGAAATTTTAACATTATTTTGACTTTATTACTCTAATATTATTTAATAAATGAACACTATTTTGCGTCCTCAGTGTTCAAATCGTAGATAATTCTAATGCAAATGTAATTTTCTTAATCTGCATAATATGCTCTTGTAAAATGGCATAGGCATAGTAATATTACGGCCTTCAGGTTTTCACATTAATGAGTGTAGTGCTTAAGAAAAAAAAATGGAGCAAATCATTTTAAGAGATTACAATTCGGATTGTGTTGCTAAAGCATACGTCTGATATAAGAAACGAGCTGTTCTTTATTCATATAATAATAAGCTTATTATATATTAGTAAATAAAGTTAGGGTTAGTGATGCTCTGGCGGCTGTTAGATGCGACAAGGTTGTTCAGGGCTCTACTGTTTTTCTTTCTGTTCTCTTCTATGCTCTGCAGTAAGAAGGGAGGTGCGTTCGCTTGCTTCTGCTGTCTGTAATCTAATTCGCGTGTCAGCTCCTCTACGAACTGCCCACCCGTCTGCCTGGAAGAAACGGAGAGTTTGCATACAACTATTTTATATAGGATACTAGTAAAAAATCACTAAGTAAATTTGGTTCCTATAGTTGGTTACTACTTGTAAGATTTCGTTTCAGTTTGGTTGTAATTAAATTTATATATTATGCATTTAAATTTATATATTACGACACCTTAGTAGTATTCAATTCAAATAGGGAGTAGTTTGAACATTGGTCTTTCGAGCCAGATAAAACAATAACTATACAATTAAATAGCGTAATCAGTGGTTAATATTAAAAGATTTGTACAGTTTGTTTTGACTTCTATTTAGTTTCCTCCCTAACTATAATACGTTTGTATATCTACTGTATATTTAGGAAATTCAACATAATTAATTTCAATAAAATGAGTGTAAAAAAAAAGGGAAAAGGCCTCAGTAGAGAGTATTTGGTGGAGGATATAGCGTAGTGTCATTACAAAACCTTACTGATTGCCTTGGCTTTCGATTTGTATGGATAACATAATGCTACACCAGAAAAATCACCGCACACTCTCCATTGAGGTGAAGGAAAAGTAAAGTAAAGTGATAGCCTATATCATCCCATTGCTGGGCACAGACCTACTCTCAATTTTGAGAGTGTTTTAGGGCAAGGAAGTGTCTGCCCCCACGCCCCAATGAGTATTGGCGGACGTGACATGTTTTTTTTTTAATTTCTCAGACATGTATGTTTCCCACGATGTTTTCTTTCATCACCGAGTACGTGGTGAATCAGCACTTACAGTTGCAATCAACAATTTTTACATTACATTTACATTAGTGCCGGCGGGGTTGCTTGCGTACTGTAAAATTTACAGTAAATGCTTAACTCCTCACTTACCACGACTCTCTCTAATGAGACTTTAGGCTAAAATCGTAATGAACTGTGGTGGGCCAAGAGCTAAGCATTTCTTTTTAAATGTCTTAACCCCAGAAGAAAAAAACGGTCAATGTCAATAATAGATCTGCTATTTTAAAACTTAATACATGAAATCGACTTTGCTTTTACTTTTAACAAATAAATAATAATCATAAAATACTATGGTATCAAAATGAATCGGACTACGAGTCACGCACACAGAGGGAACATTGTAGTGTGCGTCAATACGAGTATTACGCTGTTCTAGGGCGATCGTAGATCGTATAGAACTTGCGCTGCGCATATTTGAATTATTAATTTAATTCCATGTCTAGTATTCGCGTAAATATAAAAACTCATTCATTGTGCCCGACAAACCACGGGACAAAATAAGGTAAGATTATGGAAATTATCATTTCCATAGTCTTCCCTTACGTCACTTCACACTGACTTTCAATGACTTTCTTTCTGTACTTCTTTATATCAATGAAAATAAAAAAAATCCAAATAGCCAACGTACCGCTCCGTGCCTCTACCGCTTTCCACGTCATCATCAGCTCCCACGTACATGGAGTAGCCACGTCTGCTCAGCTCCTCGTCGGGCACCAGCGTTGGGTTGTGGAACGCGTAATTCTTGTCTGGGTTCATTTTAAGTTTTCTGAAATAAATTGGGTTCTTATATATTTCAACGTTTATTTGCAACTGTTTGCACTAAATAACACCTACATATTAGAGAAAAAAATTATTACTTAATTTTGTTCTATAATTTTTTACGTGGTAGAAACATCATGCAGCTATGAATATGAATAGATTGACCGGGGTAAGGCCACGCTCTCACAGAATACCAGCTTAAAATAAAGTGACTGTAGAAAACGGGAGACTCTTTTATACTAGTAATGATGCATTCCACTAAGTTCTCACGAGTTACAACGCACTTGAATTTTGATTCTTAGTCGATGACAAATGTAGATAGTCTGTGGGTCATTTACCATCAGGTCGGCTGTGTGCACGTAAAAGTTTGCTATTGGTCTTAGGCTTCTTATTATGCAAAGAAAATACCTACTATTTACATTTGGAATTGTTACAGATAATACACGAAAAATAGTAACATTATTATCATCATCATTACAACTTATCATCCACTGCTGAATACAGGGCTCCTCAGAAATTGCCACAAAAAGAGTGAGTGAGAGTGAGAATCCCTGCCTACTTGATAAAGTCGTCACATAATCAAGATCATCATTTAAAAAAAATCGATTAAATTTTTATACATATTTATTTGTAAATACTG